AACTACACTCTTGAATTTATATTAGTAATTAAACGTGTGTAGATTAAACTACATATATAGTTTTAAGAATATTTATTAATTAAATTATTGTTTACGATTCGCCTTTATTTGGAACAAACCTGTACTTCTCAAACTGTAGAATAAAGTTTAAACCGTACTTTGTGCACTCTTAACATATTGTATATATATGTACATATAAAACGATAAATAATTTAATTAGAGAAAATAAATAAATGATTAAGAGATATATTCTTTAATAATCAGTAGTATGTCCAACTACCTTCACCCATTTCTACCCACCCTATGAATCAGTCTAGATCCTCAATTAGTCTGGTCCAATTAGAAATAAATCTCCTTCTAATTTTGTCATCCTCAATATTAATTCTATTAATTAATTATCCCATCCCCTTAGTAATAATCCCAATAAATAAGAGTAACTAAATAAGTACGAATATAAGTTTTATACTCTAATCATCATTTGGTAGAGTGTATTAGCAAAAATAATTATGTATTGGCTCATGTATTAGTATATAGTCCCTTGTTTGGAACACTTTTTCAAGTTATGTCTAACTAATGCTACACTCTATTGTGTATTGAGGAATGCATTAGTAATACCAAGGATTACTAGGTATTATTAATGGAAAGTCATATAATTGTGGAGGATATTTTTGTAAATAAATATTCTTATACAATGCATACTATATCAGTATTTTAATACACCAAATCAAACAATGTATAAGAAATAATATATGCATGACTAAGGTAAGCATTACTAAAATACTCTATTTGACATTATTTTTATGCACTCTACCAAACGATCCTAATACACAGAGCTAATGCATGCATTATTTTTGCTTATACACAATCTACTAAATGACTTGTATAAATAAAAAATCCCGTGGATATTAATGTAATTTAACCTAATATAACATGTTATTTACCATTTATTTTAGGTTAGTAATCGATGCTATTAATTTTTTTTACAAATGATCATCTTTTGAATGACCTGATGAAAGAATGAAAAGCCCTCTAATTACCCCGTGTTATATGTGCTTTGGAGTATCACTACAACCAAAATAACTTTTAATGGTAATAAATAGACATATTAATAAAGAGTGTCAGAGTCTTTATTAGCAGGGGCGTATCTAGCGGGGGTGCCATGGGTTCACGTGAACCCATGCTCCCCTCTCTAGATCATATATAATTTTTTATAAAAAATTTAAATATAAATGTGTGAACCCACGTTCAAAGTATCATACGATGATGATTGGGTGCACCTCTCTAAGTGATGATAGAAATTTAAATCGTATATCTATCTTGTCTTTTACTAACACCTCTCTAAGTGGTTATTGGTTACACTTTTGGCGTTCCAACTAATTATTCTTTTGTTTTTTCCTTTAATCTTTCAAAATTTTCAAGTGTGTTACATTGAAAATTCCTAAAATAATTAGCACTGTAAAATTTTATATAATTAAATCAAATTGTATAATAAAATTTAAAACTAGTAGCATTATATGTTTTGGAGCTATGATTTTTAAAATTTAATGGTTCATATTAAAAACCTAAAAGTCAAACTGATCAAATTTATATTTAAGATACATTTTTTTGTAATTGTGCACCCATCTTGCGGAAATCCTGGATACACCTCTGTTTACCAGTATTAGTTTAGTACCATTAGATCTAGTGTCACTAAAGACTTTAGGGACACATACAAAGAGTGCTAATTATCCTTAAAAATACATATTTAACGGTAATTGAGATATTATCGTTAATTAATTTCCGTTAATGACATTTTTGATGAGTGGATATATATATGAACGTAACAATATAGTATATAATAATAGGCGCAGTTACGTACTTCTTATAATATATAATCATTAGTTAACGAACTGAGAATAGATTATGTAAATCTATTCAGATAGTTAAGAATTTGAGATAGATGCCAAACTTCGTCTTTTTCCTATAGTTTTTAGGCAAGAAAAATGTCACATTGGGTTACGTTTAAACCATGTGTGAATAGCTAGACACAATACTAACAGTGAATTAATTACTACCATTTATATATTGGGGTGACACCACACATGTTTAACCTAATATTATTGATTTTGACAATTGATTAATTACTTGCCTAGTGGCTAAATTGATCACCAACCATAAGACTCCCCATCTATCTTCCTCCTTTATTTCTGAGTCTTATATTTTTATGATTTTTGATTCGATGTTCAATTAGAATTTGATTAAATTTTGATTTACGAATTTTAGGATTCATTTTTCTTAGGTGTTCGATCAAATTGAAAATTAAGAATAGAGAGACTCTAATAATCCTGTCACAATGTATGTTGGTTCTTCATATAATCCTATCAAAGCTTTATTTATTTACCCAACCCTCTTTTATTCTTTTGAATATTGATTTTGCTTTAAACTTTATTATAAAGTTATAAGGACCGTGTAATTTTATCATATATATATAAGGGGTGAATTGTAACTTGTAACAGCAGAAGTTACTTGTAATTAATTTAGAAGTCAAGTGACTAATTCATTAATTGTATAAATATTTTAGTGCATAAATTAAAATTTGAACTGTTGGAGATGCCATTTTTTTCAATCCTAACGTAGGAGTCTTTTGTGAAATACCACCACACGTGCTCATCAAAAGCACACAGAATTAAATTCTTTAAAACCAAATTAAAACCTCCTTTTCAGCTCAATCAGATTAATTATCGTATGAAAACAAATATGTATTACTTTCAACTAATATCTCTTATGTACCTACTAATTAATTAATTATAAAGATTAAGTATCATCTTTATATGATATAACCTCCTACCTCCGTCTCAATTTAAATATGTCGCATTTTTCATATTTCAAAATTCAAACAAATTTATTTTTGACCATAAATTTTTTATATTTCTTTTAAAAATTTTGAGTTGTCAATTATTATGACTTATACTTTTTACATAATTTACAAATATATAAATTTTATAAAAATTTCTAATTAAACTTAAATTGCTCTTTTAACTCTCGAAAAACGAAAATTATTATATCATACTCTAGTATTAGTAGTTATGACCCTTATGCAGGTGCCTAAATATATTTAATATTATATGCACAACATCTAAATTGATAAATTTCTCTCTGTGCGTGCGTGTCGACCTTTGGATGGATTTGTCAATGATTTGTCAATACTCAATAGTGACTTCATTTTTCTTCAAACTATTATACCTTATTTGTTAATGCTGACTATATTGTTTAAAATAAGAAACAACCCCCCAGGGATGGGAGTTAATCAACTGAAAAAACACACAAATTTTATGGATAAAATAATAAAAAACTATGGATTGTTGTATGTATTCATGTTAAGAATATAATTAATTAATAAAAGTTTTTTTTCTTCAATAACTTTAATTTTTAGATGAGATGGTCACACACTTTAATATGATATCAGAGCAGACATGCTAGCTAACTATTACTTCATCAATTTTAATTTGTTTTGTCTGATTATATTTTGACACGAAATTTAAGAAATTAGAAAAATGTGTATCACGTGGGTAGCTAGAAACGTACCCGCAGAAAACTCACTGAATCCATGGAATTACGTGGGTAGATAGAAAGCTTATATCACAAAATCCATATATAGCTTCACCCACCCCTACCCACCCCTCTCCCCAATTGAAGGAGTCAAATGTGTCGGCAGTAATACAAGCAGTAAGTTTATTTGTTGGTTCCATCTGGTGTCCGGTATGACTCCGACTAATTCAGATTTACATTTCATTTGGGAGATGCGTTCCTTATGAAGTACCTTTTTCATAGTAGGGGCTTGAAATTGAGACATGCGATTAAAGAAGAAGCTGTCGATCTTATCCATTGCACTAAATTCTTTGGTGATTAAGTATTATTTGATAACACTCTAGTGGCTCTTCGATCTGTAAATTAATATGTATGAACTTGTGCTAAGGATTGCTATATTAGCATGCAGATACATCCATGCAAGGTTACGGTCCTTCCAGATCCGATCCATTTCTTAAACGAATTAAGAAAGATGATACATTTTGAAAAAAGTAATATTAAATAGAACTAGTATAAACGTATTTCACAGAAACGTATTAGTAAAATAGTGCCAAAGACGTTATTGTGAAATATATTTATATTAGTTTTGATTCTTTTAGAATATATATTTTTTGGTAAACAATTTAAATAGTAGATTATTTCGATAAAAAAAATCTCTCATAGTATAAAAAAGGGATGGTTTCAAATATATACAATACAATAATTAGTTTATAGTAAATATAATCATGTTTTTCTTTACATAAATTATCGCCAAAAATCATAGAAATTATTCACTGACTATATAATATAACTTACTTATACATTGAATATATATTATAATACATTCAAAGATGAATATAGCTTAATTATACATAGAAATATACATTGATTATACATGAGATATACACCGACTATTCAATCTCGATCAACTCAAAATCACCTCTAAACAGTCTCAAATTTTATACATACAATCCTCTCAATATTTTGAGTCTTTTGACATTATAGTCCGTCGAAACAATAAAAAAGTTTTGAAACTTCAATGATTGATCATGGAAGTGGAAGGAAGAAGAAGATGCAAATTCCACCAATTCCGATAATATTTATATTTAGGCCAATTTTCTTGTAAAGCAAATTTCCCCTAAATGAAATGCAAACATGTAAATAAGTCCACTGAACTAGGGTTTCTCTCTTACACACATTATGTATTGGGCTCTAGGCCCAACATTTTACCTTGTTGTTTTTCTTTCTTAAACTCAAATAAATCCTAATATGTACATTATCTCTTATCTCGTGAAGATAGAGAAGTTATTTCTGAAAGATCATCGACTCAAATAGCACACAGATATAATAGAGAAAGCATAACATAAGAGTCATAAAACAATAGCAATAACAAAATTTATTAACTTCCATTGGATAAAAATCAAGCATTAGTCAAACAAGTATTATTGCAAATTGATATTTTATTTGGACCTAAGAGTGAAACAAGTTAAAACAAGAAACGAAACTAACAATAGAAATAGAGATGATCCCTAGCTAGTTTCCATAATTAATTAGCCTTGCTCAAATTATTCTAAATAAAGATCAATGCAATTACTGTAAGTGCCATAGTCAGTATAACGTTGGTGCTGATCTGCTTTGCAACTCCACTGGTGCTTGTAGGAGTAGTACTCTTGGTATCTGAAGTAGTACTCTTTGTGTCTGAACTAGAAGAAGCAGGGGATGATGAGGTTGTGGTAGAAGCTGAATCAGTTATTTTAAAAATCTTTGCATCTGGTGAATCTGCTGGGATCTTCAGTAATGCTGCAATTAAAAACAAATAAGTTAATTTTAGAAGTTTGACCAAACAGACTAGACTGTGCGATAGCATGCTTTCGTATGATCAATAGAAAGGAGGTTAATTATTTACATGGGCAATCAGATACTTTGGCATCAATTTTGCAAGCAGCTGGCATTTGAAGAGCTAAAGTAGTGTTAATAGGTAGGCCTAAAGATGGATCAGTGCTCTCTTTAATGAGAACACAAAGGCATTTAGGCTTAGCAGCTTTTAATTTCTGAGTATCCTCACAACATTCAGGTGTTGGCATTTTTGCTGTGCCACTAACATATGGTATGCATGATGCCAAATCTCCAAGTTGTTCTGCACAATCTTTTACATCATCTTCTATATTACCCATTGCTAATGTCACCAACACTAACATGCACAACACTGATAACTTATTCATCTTCACTAATATTTTCAACTCTTTGCTAATTAATTTTGTGTGTTCTAGCTAAGAATATGTAAATGTGTTGCTTATAGCCTAGCGGTTTATATAGTGTTATTCTTAGACTAACGTATTTATTTCTTTCTTGCTTCCCATCGATAACAAAATTTATGACGCTTGGAGAAATGTAATTCCGCTTTCCAAGAAACGACATACTTCCTTCGTTACAAAAAGAATGATCTACTTTTCTGTTTTGACAACACTTTAATTTTAGTTTTTAAGGCCACAAAATCAAATGATATTTTAATACATTTGACATGGATAAATGCTAAATGGCCAGAAAATTTGGCCAGATAAAAAAACTATAATATCTTGTTTTATTTTAAAATAAACTGATTTTTTTTCCATTTTTTAGTTAAAAGGTATTAAAATTAAAAGGGTAAAAATGTTTTAAAAGGTAAAATAACATTCTGGCCAAATTTTCTGGCAAAAAGGATTTTTTCAAACCTTAATTTAGGCTCACAAGATTGAAATGTCTTATTTTTTTTCTTATATTCTTTGTGTAAGTCAAACTAGGTCATTTTTTCTTAAACGGAGGGAACATTTGAACTTAAATGTCATGAGATTTGGATTCCCAAGAATTCACCATAGCCTCCAAATTAATCCTCAGGGTTAATTGGTCTCTGCAGTTCATGTTCAAATGTTGGGAAATCAAATGCTCCTCTTTAATGTTCCTGTATTCCGCACTCCCATAATAATAAGAACCAAGGTGAAGTAGATGAGAGTGGCGACTAGGCTAGACATAAATAATTACTCCCTCGCTTCATTTATATTTATTGGAGGAGTTTAATTTTACAATAAAGTTAAGGGTGTAAATGTTTTTCACCCCATTTTTAATTTATTGAAGGTTAAAACTAGTCCAATCGTAGTACAAGTCGTATACTTGTAGTTTTTCTCATATGTTGTTTATTGTGATTTTAGTTATCACACTATTTTACTATTGTTATTGTTTCTTTTCTTATTGACTTTACATTGTTTTTTTTAAAAAAAAATATCCCATCTATCCAATAATACTTGTCCACTATTAACTTTGCACGTTCTTAAGAAACTATAAATAGAAGGTTAATTTTACTATATTATCCTTTGAATATAATAAATACAATGTTTTGAAAAATGTAATAGAGAAATAACTATAATTAATAATAATGGTAAATTAGGAACTAAGTGTAAAATTATCCATTAATTTCATAAAGTGGACAAGTATTATTGGACATCCCAAAATAGTATAGTGGACAACTATTGTTGGACGAAGGGAGTAATGACTATACTTTCTTCATTGTTTTCTTCTTCTTTTACTTGGGTTTGATGCACTTGAGCCGAGAGTCTTTCGAGAACAACCTCACTACTTTCACGAGGTAATGGTAAGATCTGCATGCACTCTAACCTCCCACTACTTAGTGAGATTTCACTGGATATATTATTGTTGAGTTTGATACACTTGAGCCAATGATCTTTCAGAAATATTTTATTTACCTCCATTAGATAATAGTAATATCCGCATACACTCTATCCTATACCCTCCCAAAACTTGAAGGAGATTTGAATAAATATCTTATTGTTGTTATGGAAGGTTAAATATAGTCAATCATATGTCAGAAGATAACTCAAAGTTTGAATTATTCATAGCTGAAAACCTAAAAGTACTACTCCTCATAACTTATACTTCCTTCGGTCTCAATTTATGTGACACTTTTCATTTTTTTAAAATCAAACAGATTAAATTTGATTGAAATTTGTGCATGGAATCTTCATTTTTTTAAAAATAAAATTATATATTTGCAAACTACGTAAAAACTACTATAAATCACAATAATTGATATTTCAAAATGTTTAAAAGATCTATGAAAAACTTACGGTAAAAAATAGACTTGTTTGAATTTCGAAATCTGAAAAGTGGCACGTAAAATGAAACGAAGGGAGTAATACTTTTTCATATGATTTTTAAATATGCACATTTTAGTTTCAAACTTTAAGAATCTATTTTCAAATTCACGCCAAACATAATTTTTGTTCCTTAAAAATAAGAATCTGAAAGCCATTTAACAATAAAGAAAGGAGTTGCAGTTATTTAGATTTGAAAATCCCATGGAGTAATTGCACCCGCTAGAAAGAGAGTACTATTTAAAATCAAGTCGACTCTCTCCGTGGATCATTATACTAAAGATAATTGTCACATATTAATTGATCACTATGAATCAAAAAAATATTAATAATAATAAAAAATGATTAATTAATATAAAACGAGGGAATAATAAACTAGGAAGGCTGAACCATTAAACTACGGTAGATGGCTAACCGCGTCTCATTAATCTTTTTTTCTTGTCATTAATTGTGTGAGTAGGTATACGGAAAGAAGCAAATATGTTTATTTAAAAATAAAATATGATCATGAAATTGCAACTATTTTTACCTTTTTAGGTTGTAGCTTGTATTTATATTAATATATATCCAACTAAATCTAAATTTGGATTGAAAATTTTCATATTAGGGCCAGGGTAAAGCGTTAATTGGAGCCGAATAAATTGTGATCGTTAGGAATCGAAAAAATGCTATTAATTTACTGTTATTGGGTTAATACATTTTTAATGATTTTATAAAAAAAATTAGCAGGTTATTGGTTCAGTTTTGGTTTTTTTTAATATTGGGGTATTAGTAAACATATTTTTAATGGGTTTTTTTTTTTAAAAAAAATTATGGGATTATCGATTCATTTTTTATTTTTTAATATTGAGTAAACTGATAACTCATTAAATCATAGTAATTTACTATTTTAACCCTACATAAATATTAAATATTAATGTGCAACTTGCACATATAGCAAACATAAAAATCATATTTATATGTTATAATTATAATTTGCATAATTGCGCTCCATAGCAAATTTTATGTTTGCTATGGAGCTTTTGATTTGTATAATTCGCTAGATACATCCAATTTTATACAAATTGTTCAGTTTTGTATAAATTCATTTATACATTGTAATTTGTATAATAAAATCTGTATTTATATAATTATAAGTGTATAAGACGAATATATATGTATTTGTATTTGTATATACACTTTTCTCTCGCTTTATACAAACACAAACGCATTTTATACATTTTATACCGAAATGTATAAAATGGTTAATTGTATACCGAAAATGGCTAATTGTACACCGAATCAGATGGCAAAAAAATGGGATGTTTGTTGCGAGTTTACAAATAAAATAAACTATGGCTAAAACATTTATTTTGAATTAATAGTTTGCTATTTCATACAATTTTCCCAATATTAATATTAGTATTTTATTGGTTACTGTTTTTGTCATAGTAGGCGTTTGGCCATGCGATACCATATCACGATATGGTATCGTGAGATGGAATCAGTGTTTGGACATACGATTTTACGCTGATTCCATATCATGAGATGTGATTCCATATTCTCCAAAAACCATGATATGAAATTATATGAGAATTCCACATCATGATTTGAGATATTTTAATACAAAAATTGATCCAAGAGTTTATATTTTGTTAAAACAACCCCACATTTATAACTACTAACCATTTATTTCATATGTAAATAAAATTTATAATCACATCATTACTTTTTAAAATTTATTATTCTCACAGACATCAAATTTATTAGTCTCACCAACATATAGTCGCTTTAACTCACACCAACCAATTGTTGAGTAATAAATTTATTTTATGGCATATTTATATTTAATGGGTAAGTTATTAGTATTTAGTTACATATTTCCTATCAACTTTGTTTAAAGAGATAATATTTATTTTATGACTTTGCATTGTCTTGGAAGCACTATTTTTATTACTCTTACAAACATTATTTTTACGAAGTGCATTCTATAATGCTTCCAATTTATTTTATGTTCACTAAACTAATATTGATGTATTTTTTATTTGATAGGATTGTGTTGGTGCGATTGATGGAACATATATAGAAAGGGAGGTTCCTAAAGCGGTGCAACAAGCATATCGTAATCGCAAGGAAGAACATCACAAAATGTCATTTGCCATGATATCTTGAGACATTACAACCGGAAGAATGCATCTCCTAGATGTCTTATGAAGATAGACTTGAAGAAAGCATATGATATGGTTAGCTGGGAATTCCTGGAGGAAGTACTTATTCATTTTGGGTTTTCTGGACAGTTTGTGAAGTGGATTATGTTGGAAGTAACAACCACCATGTTCTCAGTCAAAGTAAACGGGGGAAGCCATGGGTTTTTTGCAGGTAGAAGAGGATTGAGGCAAGGAGATCCAATATATCCTTTGTTGTTTGTACTTGTGATATAGTACTTGTCTAGAACACTACATACAATGAGTCAATTGCCAGACTTCAAGTACCACCCAATGTGCAAAAAGCTGAAACTTACACACTTTATATTTGCTGATGATCTGATGATTTTTTGCAAAGGAAATGTGGACTCAGTGAATAGAGTGATGGAAGCATTAGCTCACTTCAGTGCTGCTACTGATTTGGAGGTCAACTTGGAGAAATCTAATGTGTATCTAGCTGGGGTAGATGAGAGTGTCAGAACTCAAATCCTAGCCAAAACTAGATTTTCAGAGGGTGTGTTTCCAATTAAATACCTAGGACTCCCCTTGTCACCTAAGAAATAGAAGTATTAGGACTCATAGTCCATGTACTTGTAGGACTCTATAATCTGTAATTTGTGTTGTACTAGGTTACCTATTCCCCTTTGTATTCATTATATATATATGAACAGATATGCAACCTCGGCTCATCGAGCCTTTGATTACTTCTCTGTACATGGTATCAGACGTTCAGGGAAATCTAAGAACAAATCAATAGTCCACGACTTTCTTTTCTGTCCCATTAGTTTCTCCGATAATATGGCTTCTCAGTCGCTAGCTTCCTCCTCTTTAGATGTCTCACTTCCTTTTTCTACAGCAGATACTACATCTACCCAATCTACATCTGTTGTTTCATCGGGATCATCTCCCTCATCCGTTTCAATTCCTCC